CAGTGCGTTGGGGCTCGCGCGCGGGGCCCGCAGCGCGCGTCTGGTCGGCGTCGGAAGCGCGCGCAGGAGCATCGGTGTCTTGCAAGAGTGCGTCGGGCATTAGCACAGGAGCTTGTTGCATTTGTATTAGGATTTGCGTTGGAGGGTGGCGCCTGGGGGAGCAGCGCGCGCGCCTGGCGCGGGCGTCGAGGGCGCGTGCAGGGGATTCTGCGTGGGTGCGAAGGTGCCCTAAATGTATGTGCAGCACCAGCGCGGGGGGTCGGGGGGGGGCGCGGTGGGCCAACGTAGAGGAGCTGATCAGCGAGTGCCAGGCGCGCGTCGGCCGTGCATGCGCGCGGCTCGACCCCCTTGCAAGTGCGCGTTGCAGGTGCCCGCCAGCGAGCGGCATTGCACCCGTGGGCGCATCGTGGCGGGTGGGGGCGGCGCCCTTCGACTCGCGCAGGGGGGGGGGGGGGGGGGAATAATTTTCGAAATTATTCCAGGGGGGGTCCAGGGGGGCGCCGCGGGCGCCCGAAATAAAACCGAAATTGAACCGAAATTGCAGAAATAATTCCGAAATTGAGCCGCAATTGCCGAAATAATCGGTAAATTTTACGCGGCGGATTTTGGCGGCCTATTTAAATTCGATTTGGATTGCGCAGGGGGGCGGGGGGGGCAATTTAAATCCGATTTGGGACCGCGGGGGGGGGGGCGGGGGGGGCTCGCTGCAATCGCAGTATGAATGTGCCACCCCTGGCGGGCTGGTCGCCACTCTTCGCGCGGGGGGGGGGGGGCTCCGACGAGCTGCGCTCATTGATGGGTGGCGTTTGTTGGTTTCTAAGCCAGTCGCAGCTTGCGCGTGTGTGGTGATGTCTTATATTGCTTAGTTAGTTCAGGGCGCCAGAGCGCTCAAATTTTCGCAATCTGTTTTTCCGATGTTTTTTTTCGCCGCCAGCCCATCGGCGCAGTTGGGTCGTTGTTTGTTTCTCTGCTGCAGCGCATATGCATTGAGCGACGCGCAGTTGTCGTGCGAAGCGCGCTGGTCATGATTGGGAAGAGGCCAGCAACGTGTTTTTCCTGTGTTTTTGCGCTTGTGGTTGGCCACGCCCGCCGCGCGATGCCGCGGCCCAGAGCGCCCCGACGCGCTGATCAGTTTCCGCGGCGTCGCCCCTGGTCAGTGCATCCAGCGCCAGACGCGGCGCCAGCAGCCCCGTCGATTCTCCTGTCGCGCTTGGGCCGTTGGCGCCATGTCTGCCAGACTAGAGCGTCGCGCCCGCCTTTCCAACTGCGCCCCGACTAGCAGCCTGGACCGCCATCCTCGAGCGCCACCTCGTCGCCCCTGAGGCAGCCGCGCGGGGAGGGGCCAATTGGAAGGGGGAGAGGGGTGGAAGTCTGCGGCTTCGGTCGGGTTTCGCCGCAAGCTTCCCCGAAGGCTCCAGCGCCGCCGCCCGCGCGCGCCCCCAGTGCGCGCGCCGTCTAAGCGCTGCGTGTGGCCCATGAAAAACGCTGCCACGCACGTGAATTCTACGCCGTCGTTGCCAGTCGCGCGGGCTGCATCTGAACCCGACACCGCGCGCGCCCCGCGCGCGCAGAACGCGCGCGACAAGATGTGCCGGCGGCACGCAGAAAGCGCGCTCTGATTGTTTCAATGTACCAAACGCAAGGCCAGCGGCGGCGTCAAATGGCGCTGGAACCGCGCGCTATGCCGCGCGAGCTCCCGCCGCCCCTTCCCCCCCGTTGCGCTTTACCAATGCACCGCCCGCCCGCGCCATCATATGTGGCGCGCGCTCTGCGCGGCCATCGTGGGTGCCGACGCGCGCCAACGCCAACGGGCAAGGCAGCGTGCCCTTGCCAAAGCCCACGACCGACCCCGACCCACCTTCACTTGACGCCCATGCCCGACGTCGACCGCGGGCCCTTGCGAACGAAAGGTGGCGCTTGTGGTTCCATCGGCATCGTCGATGCCTGCCAGCGCCCAGGCTGGCACGCACGCGCATTGACGCAATCGCCGCTTGCCCGAGCAACCGCGCGCGACCGAGGTGACCGAGCCAATGCGCAACAGATAGCGCCCGTGTCTGCCCCCCCGCCCCCCTGCGCGTTCGGGGCTTTCCTGATGCCGCCTGCGCCGCCCCCGCTCCACCCTGCGAGGCCTGACCGATTAGCCTGGCGACGCGCCCAACCACGTGCAGTTGTGAGGATAGTTGCTAATATTATTCGGTGGAATTCCGCAAGGCTAGGAATTTGCCCTATGCCTCGGCGTTGTCACCCCCCGAGGAGGCCAGCGCGACTCGCCGCGCAGGCGGCTTGCCAACGACCGCTCGTATGCAAGCACTGTCCGAGCGCGTCCAGGCACGTGACAGAGCATGTTTGGCCTTTGATGTTGGCGACAGCAGGTAAACAGGTTTGCCCCTTGTGGCCGCCGAGCCGCTACACGCAGCCACAGGCAGACATGTCAGATGTTCGCCGCAGCTTGTTTTGGAAAGGGTTGCCGCTTTCGGAATGGCACATGCTCGCCGCAACCTGTGTTATATAGCTTTGCGGATCTAGAGCAGCAAAGCTATATGCCATACGTTGTCGCGCACATGGGTAATTCCCAGAACAGCTACGCAATGCAAAATAGGTTGTAGCGAACGTGGGTAAATCCTGCACCTGCAAGGCTATACAAAACAATTGGTAGGGAACATGGGTAATTCCTGCCACGCCAGAGCGATGCAAACCAGGTTGTAGCGAACGTGGGTCTCGCCTAGAGCAGCAACACTCTATAACTTAGGTTGCAGCAAACAGGGGTAATCCCCAGAGCATCTGAACTTTACAAAACAGCTTGTAGGGAACATGGGTGGACCCTGAGGCAGCAAGGCTATACACAAGTGGCAATATGGAGCATGGGTAAGCCCTAGAGCCGCAAAGCAGCCCAACCTAGGTTGTATCGAACAGGGGTATACCACAGAGCAGCAAAGCTATACAACATAGTTTGTAGCGAACGCGTGTAAACTTCTAGATCAGCAACGCTATGCAGACTGGGTTGTAGGGAACATGGGTAAACCCTAGATCAACAGAGCTATGCAAACATAGGTTGGGGCGAACATGGGAGCATCTTGGAGCAGCAAGGCTGTGCAGAATAGGTGGTGGCGAACAGGGGTAAACCCCTGTACTTGCCCATTGTTGGCTACAACCTATCATGCATAGCCTTGCAGCCCTCTATGTTTTATCCATGTTCGCTACACCATAGTGTGCATAGCTGTGCTGCTTTAGGGTCCACACATGTTCGCTACAACCTGATTTGCATATCTTCGCTGATCTGGGATTTACACATGATCTCCACAACAAGTATTGCATAGCTGTGCTCCCCAAAATTTACAAGTGGTCGCTCCAACCTATCTTAGATAGCTTTGCTGCTGAAGGGTTTACCCGTGCCCGCTACAAACTGGTGTATGCAGCTTTGCTGATCAAGGGTTTACACATGTTCGCTACGACCTGTTTATACTGCTTTGCTGGTCTACGGTTTGTCCATGGCCGATGCTGTCTAGTTTGCTTAGCTTTGCTGCCTTTGGGGTGACCCCTATTCGCTACAACCTATGTTGCGTAGCTTTTTGTTTTTAGGATTTACCAATGTTCGCTACAACATGTTTTTGAATAGCCTTGCCGCTTTAGGTATTTCCAAGGTTCGCTACAGCCTGTGTTATGTAGCCTTGCTTCTCTTGGATTTACACATGCTCGCTACAGCTTATGATGCAGCTTTGCTGCCCTGGGATTCACCCATGTTCGCTAGACGGTGTGATGTATGGCTGTGCTGCTCTAGGATGTACGCATGTTCGCTACAACCCGTTGTACCTAGCTTTGCCGTTCTAGGGTTTACGTATGTTTGTGCTACAACCTAGTTTACATAGTTTTGCTGCTCTAGTTTTCACGGGTGCTCGATACAACCTATGGTGCAGAGTTTTGCGGATCCAGGACTTACCCATATTCGCTACAACATAGCTTGTATAGCATTGCGGCTCTAGGATGTGCCCATGCTCGCTGCAACTTAGTGTTTGTACAGCTGTGTCGCTCTAGGTTGCGCCCATGGTTGCTACAACCTATTTTACATAGTTTTGCTGCTCTATGGTTTACACACGTTCGCTACAACATATGGTGTGTAGTTTTGCTGTTTCAGGCGCCGCCCATATCCGTTACAACCTATTTTGGATAGTTTTGCGGCTGTAGAATGTCGACATATCCGCTACAACCTGGTTTGTATAGCTTTGCTGTTCAATGATGTACCCATGTTCGCGACAACCTGTGTTTCGTAGTTTTGTTGTTCTGGGGATTACCCGTGTTCGTTACAACATGTTTTGTGTAGCTTTCCTGCTCTAGAATGTACCCGCCGCCGTTACGTGCGAGGGATGTGCCGAACTGGGTGCGGGGCCCAAAGCTAGCAACATTAGTATGATTGTATCATGTCCGCGTGCTTGTCTTATACGTTGCGCACGCAAGCCTGGTTTTCTCAGCCTGCCCGTGGTGTTCACAGGTAAAGCAATGGTTGGTAACGATCAAATCGTCTGCGTAGCGTGCGGAGAAGGTGGCCCGCGTCGTGCCTCAGGACTGAGTAGTAGGTGCAGTCGCGTGCAAGACACGCACAACAAGGTGTCTACGATTCCATTATTAACAGCTACGGTTGTGTCTATTGTATAGGACTTGTGGTCACGCGGGTCAGTACCCACGCGTGTTCTTGCATGATCGGGTCGCGTTCTCAACGCACATACGCATTTGTTCTTCCAGGAATGATCTGTGCCCCCGTGGCCCGCGCCATCGAGCGCGCCAGCGTCTCTGCTTCAGTGCTCAGGTCCAGAAGTCTCCCTAGGGCACCCCAGGCATGCCACAGGCCATCAGCATGCCTTGTTGGTCTCGTTAGTCAGGTTCATCGCTCCGAAATTCTCTCTCCCTCTCGCTGCCATCGTAGCCACTTGGGGCCAGAGGTCGAAAGCTGTGTTCCTCTCACCTACACGGGTGCACCTTCGCATTCTCTTTCGGGCCTTCGCGAGATGGCCAGGGGGGCCAAGGCTTCCAGTTCGAAGCCCGAGCATCGGTCTGAGCCGCCTGCTCGCAGCGGCCCGACAGCCAAGCGCGCCAAGAAGATCGACCGCGACCAGTCTTCTGGAGCTCGCGGCAGTGCTGATGCTGCCCCCGCATCCCCGAAGGCGAGGAGAGTCACCAAGGCGGCTGGCTGCGGCATCTGCGGGACGACCCACAGGCAGAGCAAGATGGATCACGCGACTCGTTGCTCGGCTTGCGGGGAGACCGCTGCCAAGGCGTTCCCCTTCTGGGAATGGGACGACTTGTGCGAGAGGTACCACGAGGACGACCTGGTCACTGAGGGCTTCGACAACGCGCACGCTCTGGTACACAAGAACGGCGGCAAACGCCCACAGAAAAGCGAGGCCGACGAGGGCAGCACCAACACCATGCTCTTCGAGGACACGGTGCGGTCGCACAGGGCTTTGAAGCTCTCCGACGCCAGGGACATCTACAAGAGCGATCCGCACAAGATCGGTTTCAAGCAGGCGACGGTCACCGATATGGCTGGCGTTGCCCGTTCGCGGTTCGTGCAGGTCAACCCAGATCAGCCATGCACCATCGTGAACGTAGTTCGTCGCAGGGCGATCGGGCACGAGCAGACCGTCTTGTCGAACGACCAGGTGCTTTGGAACGGCCAGGCCGACGTTCACTATGGCGCACTCGTCGACCAGAAGTGCGCCGACATGAAGGCCTTCACCAATGCGCCGACGCACGATGAAGTTCTTGCCACGGCGGAGGCGCTCAAGGCGGGGCAGGTCATTGCGCAGGCGAACAGGGAGATCAAGGATTCCAAGCAGCAGGGGATGCAGCGCGCGACTCTCGGTGATGCTGAGCCCGATGCTTCGTCTCAGGCGGCCCTGGGGCTTGGTGACATGGGCCCGCCTGCGTCGTCTCCGAGGTCGGCCTTGACATCTGTCCATGAGACTCCTGAGGCCAAGGCGGGCTATGCGGCGTCGGTCGTGACAGGGGCTCCATCGGCCAGCGGGGTGGACTCGTCTACTGACATGGAGGTGGATGAGACAATGAGCAAGCTAAGGTTTGAGGGCTACTGGATTGAATGTTTGGGCGAACAACAACACCTCTCAAACGCCGGGCAGTGGTCGAAAATTCTTCCTGAGGTTGGGGCGCAGTGCTCGGTGGTCCAGGGGCGCTTCTCAGTTTGTCCAGGGCCCTCCCGTCACGCAGGGGTTCACCGAGGGCCCGACATGTGCGGTTACCCTGGGGCCCAACAAACTTTAGCATGCAACATCGTCTCGAAGGTTTCTGATGGGCAAGGTGAAGATCCACAGGCTTTCAGCTGGGTGCAAGAGGGGGCATCAGATCCGCTGCCTGCGGGAACACCTGTCCAAGAGCTCCAAGGACGACCAGGATTATGACGCCGCCTCGTCTGGTTGAGTCTGTCGGAGAGGGCGAAGAAAGCAGGAGATCAGAAGGCCAAGGACGTGGCGAGCATGAACCGCGATGACCTCGATTCACTGTCGAGGGACTTGGACAAAGAGCCCGTGAAGATCCCCCCCCCCCCTCCCCCCCCCAGCTTCCAGCGAGCCCTTTGGGATCGGGCCGTTGCCGATTGGAAGAACGGGTCTGACTGGGGAACGCAAAAGGGCACCGAGGGCATGTTGGCCTTGGTCTTGCCGTGGGGCCCATCAGAGGAGTCGGTCAACGTGGATGAGCCCCAGAAGTTCAGTTGCCTTGCCCCCGTGCTGTCGCAGATGGAGTTGCCGCCATCGGAGAAGGCGGCCCTGTTCAAGGACACGGTCGTCAAGAGCATCATCGTATCCTACCTCCAAGCGGGCAAGTCCATGCTGAAAGAAACGATGGAGATGGTCTCGCTGCTGATCGCGCAGATCAAGGCCATGCCCATGTCATGCGAGGTCGAGGTCGACAATTCAAGCAGCGAGGTGATGCTGGCGCTGAAGTTCTTGAACACCATTGGTGGGTCCCAGGTCGACACTTTGTCCTTGGTGCAGGTCGACAAGTTCGTCGAGGCAAAGGCCACGACGATTGAGGGCTCTTTGTGCGCCAGCTTGCGCGCACTTCCTTTCTGGCACGAACGGCTGCAGCAGTACTTGAAGTATTCACCATCGCTGAAGTACTGGTGCCCCATCATCAAGGACTACCAGCTGTCACTCTCAGAGTCGCCGAACGACTTGACGCTCATGCTGCAGTGCATCCCCGACGTGAGTAGGATCGAGAAGGTTTTGCCACCGTCCGGGATCACTTCCTACAAGGGGTGGATCAAAGGGGTCGCCGATAGATTCGTGACTGCGGCGCTGCAGGTATCGTCTCAAGGTCTTGCGCTTCCAGGGCCGCCTGACGATGCAGAGAATGTCGTGAAGATGGCGGTGGGGGTCTTTGGAGCAAATGTCTCTTGGCAGCAGCTACTGGAGGCCTTGACGAACCAGAGGTCGAAGAGCCATGGGCGCGTGCTCTTGGACAAGTTCATCGGGCACATCGGCACCTACAACTCGAAGAGCCTGCAGTACGCCGCTGCGAACTTCGGGATGATCGAGGGGCTTCGCGGGCTCGCCTCGGATAGTCATTTAGAGAGGCTTCGTGATTTCAGCGGGACGGCTTTGGATTACATCTTGGGGAGGAGAGGCACCTGGCCAACGTTCCACGCCGCCACCGACTTCGATGCCGCCTGGAAGTGGGTCGATTGCGCGTCCCGTTGGTTTGAGCCAGTGGGCCTCATGGGCCCCGACTGCCCTTGGGGGTCGTTCCGCAAGTTACTCGACAAGGTCAAGGTCCACTTCGCGCTGGTGAAATCGTATCGGGAGATTATCGGGGAGAACGACATACTCAAGGGCCATCTCGCGGAGACCCCTTTGCCACTCGTGGGCGCATTCCTGGGTTTGCTCGAACAGGCCTCTCATTTGAAGGCCGACGATTCTACTGAGGAGAAGCTCATCAACGACACGTTCATGGAGGGCTGCGAGGCCGCCGCGCTGCAGCTCAAGATGCAGATGTTCGAACAGATCGCAGAGGCTGGCCTGCAGGCGGTCGTGGCGGCGTCCGAGGACGTCCCCCCGAACAAGGTCAAGGGTGGGCCTGTCGACAAGCTGTGGTCAGAGGGCTTGGCCGATGCTGCGAGCATCGAGGACGCCGTCGCTGCGTTCGATCAGCACCTCGTGCCTGCGATGTCCTTTGACAGCTTCAAGGAGGAGGTGAACCGCAAGTTTCAGCAGCTGGACGCCCTCGCTGAGACGGAGCAGAGGTTCGGCGTGGCTGTGCCGCCTGAAAATAAGCCCGAAGCGATGGTGGCCATCTGCCGCCGCGCCGCCCAGACGCTCTGCGAGTACCAGGCCCTCTGGGGCATCAAGAAGGCGGGCAGCAACGCGGTGGCCGTGAAGAAGTTCATTATGACGGTGGTCGCAAGCCAGGAGAAGTTCGGAGTCGAACAGCTGGTCAAGCCCGTGGACGACGCCGTGAAGCGCGCCATGGCCATGGAGTCGATCTTCCAGTGAGCGCAGCGGAGCGGCATTCTCGAGGAGGAGCCGTGGGCAGGATGGCGCGATGTCGGCGGGAGCGACCAGGAGGAACGAGGATGTGGCAGGGTGGCAGTGAGGAGTCACGGAGATGTGATGATCATGGCACCGAGGACCACTCATTCCATATCTCAGGGGGGGTTCGTTCGTGGCCACGTTGCCCGCGCGATCTGCTGAATGCCGGACTCCCTAGAGGGTTCTGGGCAGCAGATTGGCGCGCCAGCCTCCCGCCCGAAGCAGGACCAGGACATGTGGCCGCCAGGCAACCCCTGTGTCGTCATCTCTGGCCGCTCTCCTCTGCTCTATTCGTTCTCACGTCCTGCTGCCGCCTCCATTCATTGAGTTGCGTCCTGATGCGGCTACCCCAGCTCATTATTCGCCGCGGATGTTCGGCAATTAGGGAGTCATACATATAACTGCCTTCGGCCTATTCCGCCGCTGTGATTGGGTTGTGGGTAAGCTGCCTTCGGGATACTCGTTTGGGCGTCTTGGGGGTAGCTCTCGGTGGCGTCTTGAATGTGTCGTCGAATCACCCGATGGCCTTGACCCGATTCGGGCCTCCCTGGTGGGGCGCCGCATAGTTTGCTGACGTGGTTTCCCATTGGAACCAAACGCGGGGACGCAACGGCGGCCGCCAAACACTCGGGCCCCAAACCGTGAAACGTTCAGCGATTAACGTTGGGATGGTGGTGGTGGTGGGCGCGGCGCGCCGCTAGGGCGCGGTTGTGCGCATGGTGGTTGTTGGCGGGCGTGGGCTTCATTCCCATCGAGTGTTTGCCGAGCGCGTCTCTTGCAATGTCGCGCAGACTTGTTTGGGGCCCACGCGCCTCAAAACAATAGCACCTCATGCGCGCTAACGCGTTAGCATCACATGCCTGCGCGGCCCGCTGGGGGCGGCGGACTTTTACCACCCATAGCCTTCGAAATAGCATTCGGATCCTCTCAAGGGGCCGCGGTATGCACGTACAACTCGGCTAGTTGTGACACTATTGTTGCGGGGTGGTGGGTGCGATGTTTGTTGTAGTAAGAGTACGGGGGGGGTTGTGTAGGTGATATCAGCCAAGTGGCCGAGGGGTTTGCGTAGCTTTAACGAGGTAGAGTGTAGCCCGAGGGATATGTCTAGCCTAAGGGATCTGTTTGTGGTAGAAGGGCCTGAGGGGCACGTGTAGCCTGAGGGGTATGTGTGTTGATGTGGTGTCTTCGAGCCGTGACGCGTGGCCTTGTACCGATTCTTAATTAAACATGTTGCACCATTGTCGCTCTTGTTTGGAAAACGTGGTTCTTGCCATCCAGATCTCGGCCGATGTGGAAGTATTACAGGATATACGATTCTCTCTGCGACGCGCGGGTCTCAAGGTTGAGCTATCATGCGTTGATACGGTACCCGCGTGTAATGTCTACGATGTGTGCAATGTTGGTTGATGTATTTGCACTGGGGCCCGTTGACCTCATAATTTTCGGTTGTGCTTGTATTGGGCCGCCGCACAAAGCTAACATCAGGCCTCCTGGGTCGAACCACGAAACGCCACAGCCAATTTGAATAGGGTCTGTCAGAAAAAAAAAAAAAAAAAAAAAAACATTGCGTATCCGATTGAAATAGTATTTTAAAACAATTTTCAAGTTGTGGCGGAAATCATTTTTTTGTCGATTTAAAATCGTTTTGGGCGTTTTCACCAAATTCAGATCCTTCCACCGCTCGCAAGTTACAGCCAGAGCCGCCAGATCTCAGAGATTCTCGATTTATCCTTACCCGATGTGATCCTCGTCCTGGCTTCGCCTTACCTCAGAAGTCGCGCACCAGAGGTCACTCTTGCCTGGAGTCACTCTTGCGCGGAGCCGAGAGGAGCGCCCAGAGTGGGCCGACAGCAGCGGGAAGCGCAGCGCCGCCCTGGGGACGGATCCGCACCAGCGGGACTTCCAGAGGCGCATCTCGAGGCAGCTCGCCACGGTGCCCACGCACCAGTACCTCGACGGCCTCGTGTCCATGTCTGAGCTGAGGGCAGGTGTTGCGACCGCGGCAGCAGCGTAGGTTACTTGAATTGTGGGCTGGGGGCTGCTGGTGGCTCTCGGGCTGTAGGTGTGACTTGTCGTGCTCTCATGTCGGGAGAGAGAGAGAGAGGGAGAGAGCGAGAGAGAGTGGACATGTGTTGCGTCGTCGTTTATGCTGTTTCGTCTGTGTGTGTTTGCTACACATTGCTGCTCTGCTATGTCTCGCATTTCCTCCTCTCCGCCTCCTCATCCTCCACCTGCTCCTCCTGCATCCTTTTTCGTCGGGCCAGAGGACTTGTCGGTAGGGCGGGCCGGTGGGTTCGTACCCTTGATCTCGAGATATGGAATTTCCAACAGCTACACGGATGTAGGGCCAACCATGTGTTTTTGTCTCAACGAGCTTGTGGTGTTTGGTCCTTGCTTTGACGAGACAGCACCCCGCGTCTCACTCCTCCTCCTCCGAGACAGCGCCCCGCGTCTCACTCCTCCTCCTCCTCCTCCTCCTCCTCCTCCTCCTCCTCCTCCTCCTCCTCCTCCTCCTCCTCCTCCCCCTCCTCCTCCTCCTCCTCCTCCTCCTCCTCCTCCTCCTCCTCCTCCTCCTCCTCCTCCTCCTCTTCCTCCTTTCTGCTCCTCCTCTTCTCCTCCCCCTCCTCTTCCCTCTGCCCTCCGCACGTCCATACGGAGCTCCAGCTACTGCCCAAATGTCAGGGTCCGCATGGCGTCGGTGCTTGATTTCGGCACCCCACTCACACGCTTCGTGGCCTGATAGGGAGCCCCAGCGAAGGCCCAATGCCAGGGTCCGCATGGCGTCGGTGATTCATTTTGGTACACCTCTCACACGTTTCGTAGCCCCATAGGGAGCTCCAGCGAAGGCCCAATGCCAGGGTCCGCATGGCGTCAGTGCTGCATGCCGGCACACCCCTCACATGTTTCGTGGGCCAGGGGGGCTCCAGTTAAGGCCCAAATGCAAGGGTCTGCACGGCGTCAGTGCTGCATGTCGGCACTCCCCTCACACGTTTCGTAGCCCCATAGGCCCAAATGTCAGGATCCTCATGGCGTTAGCGCCTCATGTCGGCGCACCCCTCGCTAGGGAATCCCATGTAAGGCCCAAATGCAAGGGTGCGCATTGCGTCAGTGCTTCATTTCGGCGCAGTTCTCACACGCTTGGTGGCCCCAAAAGAGCTCCAGCGAAGGTCCGAATGCCATGGTCCTCTGCATGGCGTCGGTGCTTCGTGTCGACACACCCCTCACACGTTGCGTGGCTTCATAGGAAAATCCAGCGAAGGCCTAAATGCCAGGGTCCACATGGTGCCGGTGACTCCTTTCGGTACACCCATCACACGGTTTGTGGCCAGATAGGGAGTTCCAGCGAAGGCCCAAATACCAGAGTCCGCACGGCGTCGGTGCCCCATTTCGGCATACCCCTCACTCGTTTCGTGACCCCATAGGAAGTTCCAGCTAAGGCCCCGATGCAAGGGTCCGCATGGCGTCAGTGCTGCATGTCGGCACACCCCTCACACGTTTCGTTGTCCGATAGGCCGTATGGAGCTTCGCCAACGGCGCCAGTGCCAGCGCCCGCATGGCGGCAGCCATTTCGGCACATCCACCACACGCTGGTCTGTCCCAGAGGGACTTCCCCTTCCTTCGTCCCACCTACCTAGCGGTACTCACGCCTCCGCATGGTTGGGCTTGTCGCTCGGATAATTCAAAGTTTGGGTCCCACAGTAGCGCCGCGTATGTTCGTCATGAGAAACATCTACACGAATGGATGGCGGGTGGTTTTACAATCTGTGGTTCTGGCTTCAGCGCCGCCGAGGCTTCCAAGAGTCATTCGGACTGAGGGTGGATGCTCAACATGTGGCTCTCGCTATAGCTTCGCCCACTCCTCTCAAAAGATCACATCGTTCACACGGGTAGACGTAGAGATGTTTCACCTCTGTGCTTCCCGCAGCCTAACAGCCTAAACACGTGCAGCAGCCGCACGGATTGGGGGCGGTTCCTTTTCAAAATGGGGTCCTCCGATTGATATTGCACAAGTACCATGACTTGGGCATGTGCAACATCTACACGGATGTATGGCGGATCATTATCAACATTGGGTTCTCGTTTGGCGGCTATTGCTTATTTAGTTTGCTGTTCTCCTGTATATCGGCGTGTCTGGCAGTTTCAAGGACTGGGGCGGTTCCCATGGGGTGCTTGACGGTCAAGGGGGCGCATCCCGTAGCGAAAACAAGCATTCGCAGGGACGTGCGAGGAGGGCGTTTGGCTTCATGCTCTCACCGTGCCGCATTCCTCAGAGCTCGAAGGATGGAGGGCAGTCCCTTTTCAAAACGGAGCTCCCGCCCGAATTGCCGGCCCAGGGGGTCGCTGTGTGTTCACGGGGGCGCCTCGCGCAGAATGTCTGCACGAATGTGCGAGGAGGGCACCTGGGACTTGAGCGCGCGTATTGCAGTTTCGTTGGCGGATCTTGTGTGTGTTATGATTCCCCATATCCTAAGATGGGGTTCTTGTTATTACTTGGATGCCTCCTACTCCCTCTCCCTCCTCCTCTTTCCTCCTCCCCTCCTCCTCTTTCCTCATACTCAGACCTACTCATACTCAGGCTTACTCATACTCAGACTTACTCATACTCAGACCTACTCATACTCAGACTTACTCACACTCAGACATACTCATACACAGACTTACTCATACTCAGACTTACTCACACCCAGACGTACTCATACACAGACTTACTCATACCCAGACTTACTCATACACAGTATTACTCATACTCAGACTTACTCATACACAGACGTACACATACGCAGATTTTCTCATACACAGACCTACTCATACCCAGACTTACTCATACACAGACTTACTCACACACAGACTTACTCATACTCAGGCATACTCATACTCAGACCTGATCATACTCAGACTTACTCAACACACATCAGATTTGGAGGATGTCTCAAGCGGGGCGCTGGTTTCAGCACCCCTAAGGGGAGCCGCCAGGGGTGTTTGCACGGGCTCGTTCGCGGCCATTTTGTGGGGATGTCTCAGGCGGTTTGCTTGTTTCTGGGCTCAACATCCTTCGCTTGGAGAGCAGATTGTGAGGATGTCTCAGGCGGGGCGCTGGTTTCAGCACCCCTAAGGGGAGCCGCCAGGGGTGTTTGCACGGGCTCGTTCGCGGCCATTTTGTGGGGATGTCTCAGGCGGTTTGCTTGTTTCTGGGCTCAACATCCTTCGCTTGGAAAGCAGATTGTGAGGATGTCTCAGGCGGGGCGCTGGTTTCAGCACCCCTAAGGGGAGCCGCCAGGGGTGTTTGCACGGGCTCGTTCGCGGCCATTTTGTGGGGATGTCTCAGGCGGTTTGCTTGTTTCTGGGCTCAACATCCTTCGCTTGGAGAGCAGATTGTGAGGATGTCTCAGGCGGGGCGCTGGTTTCAGCACCCCTAAGGGGAGCCGCCAGGGGTGTTTGCACGGGCTCGTTCGCGGCCATTTGTGGGGATGTCTCAGGCGGTTTGCTTGTTTCTGGGCTCAACATCCTTCGCTTGGAGAGCAGATTGTGAGGATGTCTCAGGCGGGGCGCTGGTTTCAGCACCCCTAAGGGGAGCCGCCAGGGGTGTTTGCACGGGCTCGTTCGTGGCCATTTTGTGGGGATGTCTCAGGTGGTTTGCTTGTTTCTGGGCTCAACATCCTTCGCTTGGAGAGCAGATTGTGAGGATGTCTCAGGCGGGGCGCTGGTTTCAGCACCCCTAAGGGGAGCCGCCAGGTGTGTTTGCACGGGCTCGTTCGCGGCCATTTTGTGGGGATGTCTCAGCGGTTTGCTTGTTTCTGGGCTCAACATCCTTCGCTTGGAGAGCATATTGTGAGGATGTCTCAGGCGGGGCGCTGGTTTCAGCACCCCTAAGGGGAGCCGCCAGGGGTGTTTGCACGGGCTCGTTCGCGGCCATTTTGTAGGGATGTCTCAGGCGGTTTGCTTGTTTCTGGGCTCAACATCCTTCGCTTGGAGAGCAGATTGTGAGGATGTCTCAGGCGGGGCGCTGGTTTCAGCACCCCTAAGGGGGGCCGCCAGGGGTGTTTGCACGGGCATTGTACGCCCACGTGGACGCGCTATTGTAGTCGACCGCTCATGAACAGACGCTCACCACGGCATGACATAAAACATGAGATGCACATATGGGGAGCTCCACGCAGTGAGTAATCCTCCTCTGATCCTTGCTCCTTCCAAACGGTTCCTCCAAGTCGCGCTACCAGGCGTGCCGTTGGGGCGGGCTGGTGGTTTTCCACTGATGCATCCTCACCGCCCCTGGTACTATGTGCTGAAGCTTCCAGCAGCCACACGGAGGGTGGGCGGTTCTCAACGTCAGGCACTCGCATCGGAGCCGCGAGCACTCGTCGCAAACACTTACCAGCATCTCCGCCATTGGAGGGCGAATCGTTTTCAAGATGGGGCTCCTGCTCTGCCACCGCGCACACTCGCCTCAAATTACTCACTGCGTGGAGCTCCCCATATGTGCATCCTTTTTTAAAGGTAATATTGTATATGGGTCTACAGGAACACACGTAAAACACCAAGGACTCGTGCCCCAGGAGAGGCCCAATATATAGGAACAAAAGTAAAACAAGTAGGATTGCTTACACAGGAGAAGGACAATATATAGAAACATACGTAGAACATCAAAGAATCGTGCTCCAGGTGAGGCCCAATCGATAGGAGCATACGTAAAACACATGGGATTGGAGCCACTCCTGTTGCCTTCTGAGGCCTCCTGCTCCTGGGGCCTCTCGGGGCCTCCTGTTGCCTTCCGAGGCCTCCTGGCACTTCCTGTTGCCTCCTGGGGCCACCTGTGGTTTCCGGAGGCCTTCTGGAGCTTCCTGGGGCCTCCTGGAGCCTCTTGGGACATCCTGTGGCCTCTTGAATCTTTCTGTGGCCTCCTGATGCCTCCTGGGACCTCATGTGGTCTCCTGGGGCCTCCTGGAGCCTGTTGGAGCCTCCTGTGGCATCCTGAGAAGAATCTGCGCCCACGAGCCTGGCCACCAAAACAAGCAA